TGATATTTTCCAATTAATAAAACATAATTAAAAAGTAAAAGTATAATAATGGGAAATAAATTAGTCCGACATTACTATCAGATTATAATAACTAGTTTTATATGTGATATCATTTTTGGGCAAAAAATCCAATACAAATGACTGTAGATATAATGAAAGTATGGCTAATGATTGCACCTCTGATTTGGTGCATAAAACCCACTTATAATGAGAAGTTATTTATTTATTTGATATATTGGTAGTTGAAAATAGACCATCATTATTTATTCTCATTATTTGATCTGTAATTTAGTTTAATGTATTTGTAAGGAAATAAAACTAAAACCAAATGTAATTATTATAAATCATTTATAAATATTGTTTCAAATTGTGTATAAATGTAATCTCAATTTTAATCGTCAAGCATTTTAGATATTACATACATTAAAATTATTTCATAAACAGTTAAATGCTGAATTTTGAATTGATATAATATTTTCTCTCTCTCTCTCTCTCTCTCTCAAATTCAGGTAAATATTTGGTTATATGTTTGCAAACAATTCTCATGAACTGAAAATCCTATATACATAATTTTTTACTATTTTTTTAGAAATCCTTTTGTTTTAAATCTATTTATAAATTTTGTCGGTTTTAAGTGAAAACTCAAAAATCGATTTCAATTACTCTTTGTTTCTCATAGTCCCTATCTCTCTCTCTCTCTCTCTCTTTCAGAGTAAATCCTTGTCATGCGATTCAATAATCATATATTTTATTGCAAAACAATTTTATAGGATTTTCAGTTCATGAGAATTGTTTGCAAACATATAACCAAATATTTACCTGAATTTGATATAAAAGCCTGAGTTTAGAGACATTGAGATATAGAGTGAAAGATAGGGACTATGAGAAACAAAGAGTAATTGAAATCGATTTTTGAGTTTTCACTTAAAACCGACAAAATTTATAAATAGATTTAAAACAAAAGGATTTCTAAAAAAATAGTAAAAAATTATGTATAACAGAGAATTAGGAATATATAATAAATATGGTAATCAGGTTTATATCTAACAATTAATTATTAACTATTATTATAATATAAAAGTAAAATAATAATACTGTAATTAATAAACATGCATATGATTGCTGTAAACACTTTTTATTTGACATTTGAAATGTTTTACACCAAACAAGTTGTAGGAAATTGCTGTCCAAAAAGCAAATGAAATACATATAAAGATACAAATCAAATGATAAATTAGTTGATGGAAAAAACACAGCAAAAAAACAAATGCCACATATTTTGAACATCACTTATCAATTGAGAAGTAAAACTCAAAGCACACGAAAAAATATATATTTATTAATTTGTGTTCAATATATCAATGATTGGATTTATCATTGAATGTATTGCCAAATGCAATGACATATCCGACCAATTCATTCATCAAACGCCTGTCCATATTCTGCTCCACTCTTTCTCTTCAATTCATTTCACGAATATTTCCAATAATTTTTATACACTTTCATCTCATATTCCTATCCGTCTCTCTCTCTCTCTCTCTCTCTTCTCTGTTTAATACAAGATGTGATATATTATTGAGCAAAACATTCCTATTGTTTACATTTAGACTGAATTTCTTCGTCTCTTCTTGTTTTTTATAGTAAAATATAAAAAAATAAAATAAATTGAATTCAATTCTCATTTTAAAAGTAAATCTAATCCAATGTTTATCTCAAACAAATGTCTGTGTATTGAAAGCACTTAAATAACACACGAATTATAATATAATCGTATCGACCGGTTTCGCGGGACATAACAAAAGGGACTGAGATTTACATTTAATAGTGATTTTCTGGTGAATCAAATCAGCCTAAAAAGCCTAACCATAAACTAAAGTGAGTGATAGTGTGAATGAGAGGCTGTGAAAAAACTTTGCCATTATTTGAATTAAAAAACTAGTTTTTGCAAAGAAAAGGACCAGTAGTTTGAAAAACACGTATCCATTGATTTATAAATAGCAAATAAACATAACAATAATATACATAATGCACTTTAATGTAGGTTTTTGTTGATAAATATTTGTTATCAATTTCCTAAATAGAGTATACTTCTTACCTGATTATTATATACACTAAACACTCTATACAATGAACTCATTTTAGTTATTTATTTTGTAAAGTGCTCTATAGTCTAAATTTTAAAAATTTTATAAAATCAGTTTCACTATAAAATATAATTTAAAAATTTATTTAATTTTTACAATAAATTTTTGTGCATTAAAGTTAAAACAAAGCAAAATAATAATTTATTTAAATTTATATATTTCTTGAAATAATATTCTTTAGCACTTTATAAAACCTAATATTCAGGTTTTATTTCCAAACACTTTCAATAATTAAACTAAAATATTCAATATTTTTACGCATATAACTGAATGTATAATTTTTCTAAAGGGATAATCACCGCATGTTTTAAAAGATTTTGTGCAAAATATGATCACAAACTGAAATACGATCGCATAATGAGTGCTGAAAACAATGTAATTCTTGTCATTAAAGAGATATACATTAACCACAGTTCCCACAGCTCTTCACATATTCTATATTATTGTCATCACTATATCCCTCTCTCTCTCTCTCTCTGCAGTTCAGGGCCGACCAGCGCAACGGCATCGACCAGACGGGCTGCTACGTAGCCATAGGGTTGGCCACAAATCGCGTACCGGTGGCCAACACTTGGGGCACCGACGGGTTTGATGGCCGACCGGCAACACTTTCATCTCATATTCCTATCCGTCTCTCTCTCTCAACGTCTATGACATCAAATAATTATGTTTTGACATGAAATTTAAGTCTAATTTAAGTTCTCCGTTAAAACCGTTGGGAACTCTTGGAAAAATATTTTATAATGATTTATCGCATTTAATAATTAGCATTATTTTCGTAACACATCTATTATTTTTGCAAAGGCTTAGATGTTTGCGAAAAAATAATTGTTGTCATATATTGTGTGCATTTGCTATTCATATAAAGCAAATGTTTGCATAATTTATTTGAAATTAAAAATTGCTCTTTAAATGACATAATTTATAATAAAAATAGTTATTATTATGATTACTATAACGACTAATATTTCTTAATTAGATATTTACAGTGATATTCACATTACTTTACTGTACAGTATATATCATATTGAGATTTATTTGTTTAATATATTTTAATTCTGCATTAAATTAATTACTTTTATTGCAGATAAAAAATAATAATGAGTTTCGCATTAAATGTATACTAATTATAAAGAAGTCGTAAATATAAGTATTTTTGGATTTTTTAAAATTTAAACCAAATTTTAAAGCTATTTGTAGAGTATTTTGAGACGATATCAAAAATCGCGAGTTTTAATAAAACGTCTGAAGTGTTGTGAAAGCACTCAAAATATGTGTAAATGTATTGATTTGCTTGTCTTAGAGGCAGAGATGGATCTCTTGAACGCCAATAACACGACTGACCGGTGAAGACATGTCTGAAACCATTAATGGAAAAGTTTTTGCCGATTTTTATCGCATGAGTACTTATGTTATATAGCGTTGGATTAATCGTCAAATAAATAGAAACTAAATTATTGTTATTATTATTATTGTGTACTCAAAGAGTCGTAATTATAAATCTGTTTATAATCTGATTATTACTATTCAGAGCAAAACCATTGAAATTATAGTGAATTCACGAAACGATTAAAACACAGACAAAGTCTGCAAAAAAGATTGAAACCTAAAGTCATTTATTATCAAAATGTTTGTATTTGTTTTGTATTGTATGCTATGCTATGCTATGCTATGCTATGCCGTCGTTATTATTATTATTGTCTCTATTTATCTGTTTTTTCTCACTCTTCTCTGTTTAATACAAGATGTGATATATTATTGAGCAAAACATAACTGATTTATGAAAACGGATTTCTTTTTTCTATCAGTTCTTCTCATGGATTACACGAACTGTTAAACAGAGAAGAGAGAGAGAGAGAGAGAGAGAGAGAGAGAGAATATTATATCAATTCAAAATTCAGCATTTAGCTGCTTATGAAATAATTTTAATGTATGTAATATCTAAAATGTTTGATGATTAAAATTGAGATTACATCTATACACAATTTGAAACAATATTTATAAATGATTTATAATAATTACATTTGGTTTTGGTTTTATTTCTTTACAAATACATTAAACTAAATTACAGATCAAATAATGAGAATAAATAATGATGGTCTATTTTGAACTACCAATATATCAAATAAATAAATAACTTCTCATTATAAGTGGATTTTATGCACAAAATCAGAGGTGCAATCATTAGCCATACTTTCATTATATCTACAGTCATTTGTATTGAATTTTTTTTGCCCAAAAATGATATCACATATAAAACTAGTTATTATAATCTGATAGTAATGTCGGACTAATTTATTTCCCATTATTATACTTTTACTTTTTAATTATGTTTTATTAATTGGAAAATATCAATCTCTCTCTCTCTCTCTCTCTCTCTCTCTCTCTCTTTCCGCTTCTGATTTAAATGTAAAATCCATTTTAAACCCTTTGCTTTGCCTGAAAAGTATTTCACATTTCATACGCAATGCTTGCGTTTGGGTTGGCCCATAAAGTAATGTAAGTGCTATTCTGTGCACATATAAAGTGGTCTAATTTAGTATTTTAATTAATATTTATATAAATAGTACTTCAATTATAAATATGTCTATAAAATAATTATTTTAAAATGTTTATATTCTTATAACTTAATATTAAACATCTTTAATATTTTGTAAAATGTTTTTAATATTCTAATAAACATTTTAAACATTTTATAATATTTCATTAAGTATTGAAGCAATCATTTCATTTGATTCCAAAATATGGCACAATTGATGAAACACTTGAAGATATCACTCGAGATCACAGATGACGGCAATGAAGACAACAGACAACAGGTATTTCACAAACAATTCACTGTTTATTGAGTTTTCATTATTTTCTTAAATTTTAGGCACAAATTTATGCTCTAAACTCAATGGACAGATTCGGTGATGATTTGTGTCAACTATTGTTGTCTTATCTCTCACTCGAAGATCGGTTTCGTTTGGAATTAGTCTCCAAACAATTTCAGCGGACATTTATCGACAGTTTTGTAAAAATAGTTATTGACAACCGATTCATACATATATTACTTAATAATAAGAGAAGTAAAGTTCAAATGTTGGCCACAATTGTTAAAAAGTTTTCAAACATTCAGATTATTGACTGTCGAGGAATAGCCAACAAATATGAAGAACTTATTCCCGAAGTGTTGAACACATTTCGAGATAATTGCCGGCATTTGCGGCAAATTTATTGTGATTTGTGGCTAAATAGCAAACAAACAATCCAAACACTCGGACCACTGGTCACCCGAATCGGTGACATTAATTACTTTAGTAATAGTCAATCGCTCACTGATTGCCACCTATTATCTCATTTACGGGTCAAATCGATTTTATACGTCTTCCACATCTATAACAATAATCTCTTCGCTAAAAATTTGCGTAAATTTGAATTAAAATATTATTCAAATCGTCATTTGAACCAATTATCCGCATTTGTGGCTCAAAATCAGTCACTGAAGAGTCTTATCATTAGTTATATTTGTCTCGAAACTGACGATTCATTGGTCGAAATGTGTGAACAATTGTCACGATTAACACAATTACGGGAATTGAGACTCAGTTTACAGCTAATCGATGGCCAGAAATTATTCAACCACTCTTTGCGTACAATTGGCGTGAATTGCAAACAATTGATTCGATTGTCACTCGCGTTGTGTTCAATATCTACGAAAACAATAACACAGACATTGAATTCGTTGAGATATTACCTAGCTTGTGATCTCAACGGTTTTTGTAAGGAAAATGCACTCAAAAAAATTTTTGCAATTAAACAAAAAAAACAAAACAAAACAAAGTTTTTAAGTTTTAAAAAAGAATTTTAATACAATTTTATATTTCATGTTGTAATTTATGTACAAATTGTGATGAACAACGTGTGCTTATCACTACAGTTATCATTACATTGAACACAACATTCAACACATTTTTATTGTTTTAATTGGGATTATAATTTATACAATTTTATATTTCATGTTGTAATTTATGTACAAATTGTGATGAACAACGTGTGCTTATCACTACAGTTATCATTACATTGAACACAACATTCAACACATTTTTATTGTTTTAATTGTGATCCATGTTAAAGTATAGCCATAGTCTAATCCGATGTTAAATCACATAGGGCGGAGGCCGGGAGGGAGAGGGGCCGAACGATCCTATAAACTACATAAATTGTGGTTAAAATTAATTTACAATTTTTATAAAAAAATTTTTTAATCAAAAGTTAGATAGTTTCAGTATTAATAAAGAAAAACATTATAGTTTTTTAAAATTAAAGAACTCGTTGGATAAAAATCCTAATTGGTTGTTTTACAAAAATTCCTGTCCATCAATTCAAAAATATGCACCATTAACGACTGTTGATGTTGAGAGATCATTTTCCCAGTTTACAGATAATATTATGTACGCATTTAACAGACGAAAATTTACCGCAGAAAATATTGAAAAATATTTATGTATTAAATATAATCAATTTATTTAATTTTAATTACTATTTGTTTTAACTACAATTGTAAGGGAACATTTTATATCAAGGATCACTTGGCCCATCCCCCACACTATCCTGATAGCATAACATCCCAGATTAATTCTATGGCTACTTTATCATGGAATTAATTTTCTTATAGGTAAAGTTAATTCTATGGTATAATGTTAAGTCTATGGCAGTGTTTTGTATTGTTATTACATATTATTGCATTGTAATCTTCGTTTATCAATAACTGTATTTTTTCATTAAAATTTTTTAATTAAAATTGTCTTGTTTTAAAATTGCAATTGAGAATAAATTTATTCAAATATTAAAATATGTTGTTTTTAATTTGTTTTTTGTTTTACTTTGTTTTTTGTTTAATTGAAAAAAAATTTTTTGAGTGCATTTTCCTTACAAAAACCGTTGAGATCACAAGCTAGCAAATAGCCAACACTTTTGTCACACATTTTGCATACAATTTGTGTATCATTTTCAGAGTTCACTTTCAGAGTTGTATGAATCGGTGAATGCCTTTGATATGCATATGAAAAGGGCACTCATTGTTGCATTATTTGCCCGCTTTTGTTAACCCCTTATAAGCCTTTTTACAGTATATGCGATACCAATACTATTATTGTAGTAAAATTTTGGGCAATTGTTTTCATTCATAAATTATACTTTTTATTTAGAAGTGTATATTTTTAGGCAAGTTTTATTGAAAACTTTTTTATCAATAAGAAACTAATTTATATATTGGTTTTAAATGCATAGGGAATATGATTTAGATAGCTGTTTAATTTATAACATTATTTTTCAATTTGTTACAAGATACATGTATGTTGAATTGAGAAAATGTCATTTTTGCCAATTCAATGCATTAATTAAATATGAATTAGAGTTTGAAAAGTTATTCAAACTTTTGTTAAAATATTTTATTGTTGTATTTTTAAAGATACATATTGTATAGATACACATGTATGTATATAACGTTTTATTATCAATATTTCTATAATAGTCTTGGTATAAATTTATTGAATAATGCATTTTATTTTATGCTTACAAATATTCATTGTATTGCTTATAATATTTTTAAAATTGAACTATAAATTGTTTGAACAAAGTTTGTAATATATTGTAATAGTTTGTATAACTCTCTCCATTCAATTGCATTTAATAGTTAAACGTATGGTATTTTTTGGACAAAAGACAATTCATTGCATTGTATAGTGTATTGATTTATTGGCTCATTAACTGATCATTTCATGATTTACTTGTGTTTCACATCACATGTACTCCTCTTCTGTTAGATATTCATTGAATTGAAAGACACTTTGTTTAACAATAAGAGTATTTACAAAATAAGATTATATAATATATGCATATATATTGAGAGTATTAGACAATGGCATCGATGCCATCGATGCCTCGCCCTATCCCTTACCAGATCTGTGACCCCCTGTTATCGACGGGTATATGACATAGAAATGAACGGCGAATATGCCATCAAATGATGATATATTAATACCAGATATCTATCACTTGGCCATCAATATTGCATTAGAATTATAATAAATTACTAAACATATATTTTCTTATATTAAGTCTTAATAAATATTATCTATTATTTTACTAATATATAAATCGATAGATTTTTATCAAAAATATATATTAGAAAATTTGCTTATTTTGAGTTATTTTATACACGTTTGGACATTATTATAGGTCCACCCAATGGTATACGAAATTATTAATTTTGTTTTGCAATACTTTAATGATAAAAATTTAATGGTATTTCAAGTAATATTTAGTTTGTTTTGAATTGTATTGATTTTAAAAATCTATATTTTATATACAATTAATCTGAGAGTTAATACATAGTAATGGCATAAAATATAAATAGTTGTTATAATTATAATATAGCGGAAAGAGTTTGTGCACATCTCTCGCATTTATACAACTTTTATTTGAAAATATAATTAATGATCAATTCATGAATGAATGGTTAAACAGTTTTTCGGGATATAAATCACAAAATCTCTATAAAATTAGAGCCATTTTAATGAATATTATTAATTTGTCTCCGAATTCTTCTAATGGATTGGATTTCCATTTGTTTTTTAGCGCAAAATAAAGTATTTTTAGTTGTATTTTAAGTGAAACTATTCTCTGGAGGAAAATTGATAAATTGAGATAAATTCACATAATATTTACTTGTGTTTAGGCTTTCAATTAAAAAACAAACTAAATTCTTGATAAAAAGGTTTTTTGTTAGGATTTTTTGCACATAAAATTGCTTTCAGATAAATATGATATTCTTATCATTTGATGATATTTTCCAATTAATAAAACATAATTAAAAAGTAAAAGTATAATAATGGGAAATAAATTAGTCCGACATTACTATCAGATTATAATAACTAGTTTTATATGTGATATCATTTTTGGGCAAAAAA